AGTTTTTGAAAGTTTCTAAATACCTCGAAAGCTTCAAAATACTTCGAAGACTACCTAATGAAAAATATGAAAATGTCTCGAAATACTTCGAAAAATCTAGAATGTTCAAAAATATTTTGAAAACTTCAAAATACTTCGAAATTCAAAGTTTTTGAAGGTTTCTAAATACCTCGAAAACTTAAAAATATCTCGAAGAATATTGAAAAAGATGAAAATATCTCAAAATACTTGGAAAAATATGGAAATGCTTAAAAATATTTCCAAAACTTCAAAATACTTTAAATACTTCAAAATTTAAAGTTTTTGAAAGTTTATAAATACCACGAAAGCTTCAAAATACGTCGAAAACTACTGAGAAATATGAAAATGTCTCGAAATACTTAAAAAAATTTGGGATGTTTAAAATATTTCGAAGTTTTTGAAAGTTTCTAAATACCTAGAAAACTTAAAAATATATCAAAGAATATTGAAAAGCCAATAGTATTTCAAAATACTACCAATAATCAGGAAATCCTTAAAAATATTTCATTTAAAGTTCAAAATCCTTTGAAGAACTTATGATCTCTGATCTCCAGTTATGGATTTAGTCGTCTGGTCCTTGAACTTTGGTGTCCATTCATTGATGCACAGGTTTTGGGAATACGTTTTCAGTGGATTTTTACATATTTTATAGCTTTTTAATTTTTTTCTGCTCTAAAATAAATAAAAAAAACATCAAAACACCTTCGAAATATAACAATATAGCTTTCGAAATATATTGAAAACCACTAAGCACATCTAAACGTCTCTGTTGGTGTTCAAATCATATTAAAACGACTGTTTGACATTTTTTTCAAGTTTCCACTGGACTATGCACGGAAAGGTTGATTAATAAATTACCTAAATCAAGTGCCTCAGAATTTGAAGACTTTGTAATTCAAAGTCTAACTAATTTTAAACAGTTTATAACTAACAAAATCATTCTTGATCCGTGTTCAAAACGTTTTTATTTTCAAATATTCTAGTAAAGGAATAACCCTTTATAACAATACATTTTTCACGTTTTGTGTGTGGAAGGGACGGCTAATTATGATTTTGTAGAAATTTTATAGGAAAAAACGTAATAGAAGGACTTTTTTTGTGCGTGTGATTTTTTACTCTTGGGTGTTTTTTCAGATGAAGAACGCCGTCATTCCAACTTGCGATCAAACGGTACAAAGAGTACCGAGCTGATTGAATAATACGAGGGGTATAAAAAAAGTTATAAAGTGTCTTAGTGTTGGATGGAATGTTGAATGTGTAACTAACTTATTCGTTGCAGGAAATAGACCAACCGGTATAAGAATGCGTTTGCGGTTGGTCCTTAAGCATGCTTTAATAGTAAAGGGATCGCCCTGTACATTTACAACTCGGCACGTGTCAAAAGTGGCATTTTTAGAACTGGAGTTTTATACGTACTTATAAAAAATTTAGGCAACCGTGGATTGTAGTGCTCTCGAACTTCGCTCGTAAAAACTTAACTCATCAATAAATCATAACCTAGGAGGACACATCGTAAACGAAAACAGCTTCCCCCAAGGTGGTCTATTTCCGGCCGCGGAGCATACCCAATAGCATGTCAGTTATAACCGTATCTGTTAACTTTTCCTTTCTTCGGACAGAACTGTAATTTATCTGTCGTCACGTGCCGTACTCAATTTTAGATTTATTTTAGGAACAATCAATGCATGACGGTGGATTGATCTGTCTATTTCCTTTTTTTCAGACCCCCTAATTACGGTATTGGGTGTCCGGTAGATATAGGTGGTTATATAGTAGGGTAGTTTGTCGTGATGTATACGGGGTGTTTCATGAGTACGTGCAGTAAATCCATGGAGGCATTATATGGTTAAAATTAAGGTAATTTGGTTGAATAAGGTCCAAAGGTCGTCGTTCTTGAGGATTAGGATTTACAACATTAAACAAAAATCCGTTTAATATTTTTAATTTCTAAACCGCTTAAAATACTATCGTGGACTTTTTTGGGGTCAAAATATGAACTGATCTGGGAATTCTGACCTTAGATAAGGTCTTTGGGGGGTTGAATTGAGATTAAGTCAAATGAAATGACCTTGACTTGATTTCCAGAGGACCTTATAGGGCTAAGCTATCCCCGAATTCAGGTTCAGCGATCTCAAAAGGATACATACTTACAGGTTAACATTCGTGAAAGGCCTTTTCTTTACTTTGACCTTGAAATAATCTTGACTTGACCGAAATGTGACCTTGCAGGGCTAAACTATCCCCGAATTCAGTTCTTCCCCCCCAAAAAAATGTATACGCACTGGTTGAAATTCAATACAAGTCTTTTCTTTAGTTTGATTTTGAAATGACCTTGAATTGACTTGAAGGTGATCTTTAAGGTTACGCTATTTCCAGATTCAGTTTCTGCGAGCCCAAAAACCTATACACTCACTGGTCAAAATTCAATACAAGTCTTTTCTTCAGATTGACCTTGAAACGACCCTTACCTGATCTCCAGGTGACCTTAAATAGCTAAGATATCTCCGATTTCAGGTTCAGCGATCTACAAGCATTGTACCTACTTGTCAAAATTCATTTCATGCCTCAGTTTTTGAATAAATCAACTTGAAACTTTGTGAAGCTTACTCAAGCCTACAGCCAAAATCACATACTTCCCCCCTCTTTATCTCTGAAACTATTCAAACTATAACATGCTGCAATTTCAGCAAAATCGACTGGCATTTTCCATTGATTTTGTGCAGGACTTTGTCGCTAATCGATAAAAGACACAAAATATGTAGGGTCAAAAATGACTGCATACGATGAAGCATAATGAAGACAAATTTTGCTTGGGTAACAACATTTTTTTGTGAAAAGGATCATAGCATATTTTTTGTTTTATACTTACCAACATGCTCAAAAGTATCAAATTCCAGAAAAAGTCTGAAGCGGTTTAGAAATTAAAAAATACAAAATTATTTTTTTTAATTTAATTTAACCGAAAACTATAGGCTTAGGTTTATCGAATCAAATGAGCCTAATTTTAGCAATAGAAAACGTCCCTGGATTTTCTACACGTACTTAGGAAACACCCTGTATACGAAGGGTTACTTGAAATGGACTCACTGGGACGAATTTAAAATCTCACCAAGACGACATCGAGAATATTTTGTTTTTAATCCAGTTATTAATTTTATTTACCTTAAAAAACGGTAGCAACAAAACTGGAAAGTTAAAAGTTGGAAATATAGAGTGTTCCTGTCGAATATACAGGGTGTCTCACTAAAGTTGGCGAGGTACGATATTAGGAAAAAAGTTTTGATTAATAAATCGACCAAATGAAATCGCTGGAAATAGTTTTCAAGTTCGTAGCTCTGCTGCTAGGGGGCGCAATCTACATACCAAAACATAGAGTTGAATTTTTCTCAGAAATGTTTCCTATTTAGGTATATTAAATAGTACAAATATGGATAGCCGGATTCATTACGCACAACTTTTGTTATTGACATTTTATTCTCTCTCTCGACAGAAAGGGTGGGGGAAGCCCCTAATCTTCATGCTTTATCTCGTGGTGAACGCGTAATGTAATTTACCTCAATATGGAAACCTATAGATGGCGTTATTTTAAAAGAATGCCGTTTTATGGATTTTTCTCAAAAATTTTAAATGCAATACTATAGTTTTCTTTACATAACTGAAGTCAGCACAAAAGAATGATGGATATAGTATAAGTTTGAAATTTCTAACGAAAGTGTTGTTTATTTATTGGCGCTATTTATCCAAGTTTAGGTTTTTCCTACTATTTTACGTTTTCTCAAAAAAGTGAAATAGTAGGATAAAACTTTTTATAGGTTAGTTTGAAGAACTTAAAAATAGCTACATTTTGACGCCAAAAAGGGTTCGGTATCTTTTTTTGTTATCAAGTTATTCGCAAATTGGTGAGCAAAAAATAAATAAAGATAATGAATTGTGGAACACGAACAAAAGTTATGTGCAATGAATCCGGCTATCCATATTTGTACTATTTGATATACCTGAATAGGAAACATTTCTGAAAAGAATTAAATTCTATGTTTTGGTATGTAGATTGCGTCCCCTAGCAGCATGGTTCCGAACTTGAAAACTATTTCCAGCTATTTCTCTTGGTGGATTTATTAATAAAAAGTTTTTTCCCGAAGCTCTAGGGCCTATATTTTCTTTAATATGGTACGTCGCCGACCTTAGTGGGACATCCTGTATAATAATGTCAAAAAAAATGTTAATATAATTTTACATCCTTAACAAGTTACGAGCCTTCCAAAAATTATATGTACCTATTTAATATTTTTCAAGATAGTTCAGAAAAAAGGAAGCGAAATGATAAACTTTACTTTTCAAGTACTTCACAATCTTCATTGGACGCCCTGTCCTGTAGAACGTAGAGAAAACATAGTCAGCGTTTTTGTTGATTTCTGTACCCTCTGGAATAAGCATCCATGTTTTATAGCCAATAAGACATAAACTAGCGCCAAAGTGCCTAGCTGCTCCCACGTCGAGAAATCACAACTAAAAAATTCATATTTCTGGGCAGTAAATTTCTTTACTGTGTAACTGGAGTCAATCTCGCTAGTGTTGATGTCTATGGTGAGATTTTAAGTTTATACGTAAAGGAATGTCAATATCATACACTTTTCTTCACCTATCACAATATTTAAACGTTCTTACACACTTTAGTATAACCCAGCATGACGCAGGGAGAAATTGTATAGAAAATCGAACTAAACTTGAAAAATATTTAGTTCAATTTTTTTGGTTTGAATTAACCCTGTAGTGATATGTTTGTTCTAAACTCTACTATAGGTTAAAAGTGATTTCCTGTCGTGCGGTTAAAAAATCTGTACTGTATCCACAGAGAAAACGATTTTCAAGTTAAAAATACAGGAAAGATGAAAATTTTCTCTGTGGATGTTGTCAAATGATGCGATCCGCACGGAAAAGACCAAACATGACGAAAAAATGACCAAACCTCCGTGTTCTAGGACTGCTAGGGGTGACCACATCCCTAAATCCAAACGGCGTTGGACTCGAATCAAATCCAGCATTTTTGATGGGCAAACCAAGATTTGACCCCCCACCGCCGCCGCCCCCCACCTCCCAGCCGACGCAGGTGAATCTAGCCGAGAGTTCGGGCCAGTGTTATACGACCCTTAAGCCCACCACCAACTAAGCTGCCAAAACTGTGAACAGTCCGTAAGTGTTTAACGTGAAAAAAAATGAGTGAGATAACCGTCGATTAGGGGCGCTGGAACTTTACCGAAAATTGTCACTGCCCAGGCAATGCGACCGTCACGTCATTTTTACGTCGCGTTTTGGTGAGTTTTCTCACCATACAGTTTTTAACTAAAGTTAAATCTATGATTTTTCCTCTTTCTCTAACATGAAAACGTCGGGAAATCGACGTTATTTTTACGTTAAAAAAAAGAATGATAAAGTAGGTAACGTTACGTCATTTTCACGTTATGATTGGTCAATTTCTTGACCACGTCTTTTTAACCAAAAAAATTAATATTTTAAAAAAACAAATAACATTAGAGCTTCTCTTCATATTATTTTTAAACCAAAGCAGCATAAAACTGATAAACGTCGTAAAATTGACGTCGTTTTTACATTTAATTTAAGATAAAGATCCAAGACGATTTTGTGATAAAGTAGGAACTTGATGTGTTGAATGTATGGATGACAATGTGTTTAGGCAACGTCTGTTATCGTCACATCGTCACGTCAGTTTCATTTCGTCTTTGGCCTGTTTCTTCACCATGACCCTTAACCCAAAAAAAGTTGATGGTTTTTTCAAAATATGCAGCATAATAAGTTCTCTTCATTTTTCTTAGCAAAAGCAACATGAACGCGAAAAACGTCACAAAGTTAACGTCATTTTTATGACTAAAAAATGACGTTTGATGATTTTATGTTAACTTTATTTGATATGATATGGACGATAATCTACTAGGCAACGTCTATCAATGTCATTATCACGTCGCGGTTTGGTCAGTTTCTCCAAAATTATTTTTTTAATTAACAAAAAGTGGATAAATTTCCCAAATAAGTATCATAGCTTCATCTTTGTCTCTTAAACCGAGACAGCAAAAAAAATGAGAGACGTCACAAAATTGACGTCATTTTCACGTTTAAAAAACGACGTCTGATGATTTGATAATAAAGAATCTGATGTAATGTTGATGGAGGACAATAACATTTATATGAGTTTACGCAACGTTTGCCTCGTCATTTTGACGTCGCGATTTGGTCGTTTTCGTCACCATTAGTTTTTTATATAACGATAAGTTGGTATTTTCTCAACATAGACATTGAACTTCTCCATGATTTTCCCTTAAGCCAAATCAGCATAAAAGTTATAAACGTCGCAAAATCGACGTCATTTATACGTTTAATGAATGGTAATAATCCTATGAAAATTTTGTGATAAAATGAGGCTTTGATGTGGTGTATGTATGTGTGTGAATGATAATGTCGTTGAAGTGTTTATCCAATATCTGTCACGTCATCTTTACGTCGTGGTTTGGTCACTTTCTTCCCAGTTTATTTTTAAACTAACGAAAAGTTCCCAAAATACGTATCATAGCTTTTTTATCTTTGTCTGGAGCCGAGGCAGCAGAAAAAATATGAGTAACGTCACAAAATTGACGTCATTTTTACGTTTCAAGAAAGACAATGATTTTATCATAAGTTGAAAATCTGACGTGACGTAAATGCTAGTGACAGTGGCGTTGTCATGTGTTTAAAGTTAAAGATGGCAGTTTCTTAGCTTTCTAAAGAAATTTTTGATAATTTTCGGTAAAGCAATCGCGTCCCAATAAACTGTTGATAAAGTGGTGAAAATTAAACAATGTTGTACTGTTATTTAGTTAAATAAATCAATATTTAAAAAAATAAATGATACAGTATCATGGAAACGACATGCAGAACAGTGCTTGGAGAGGACTATATAAATAATAAATTTTATTATCATTATTATTCAATACTCAAGTATTTAGATAGCATATCGTTAATATGTATAAAATTTTTAATATATTTATAAGAAATACGTAAGTACGAGGCTAGGTAAAAATATTCGTTTGTTTGGGGATTTGTTTAACTTTCCTTTCATTGTTGAACTAGACTTTGAAAAAGAACTCTGTGAACGGATATTTTTTAATCACCCTGTATTTGCCTGTAATATCCCAAAGTGAACAAGCTTTTTACCTAGTGTTGTCGATTAGCAACAACACCCAAAAATAAATTATCTTCAGATATACGAACAAGGGGAAAGTACAACTGAACACTTTTCCGATGTTTCCAATTTTTTTACAGACACTTAAATTGCGCAAAACGTGTGCGGTTTGCCTTTCCCCGAGATGGCATTGTGTAAGTAATAATAAGCAATATATTTTTCCGTAACTTTTGTATGAAGTTACCATACGAGTGATGAAGCTGATTCTTAATATTTATAAATTTAGGTAAAAAAAAAACATTTCTAGTCGTATAGGTAGGAAGGATCAATAATTGTACCGGGTGGAAAATTTCGAGGTGATTCTGTGACAAAAGAAAAAGGAAAATATTACTAGGGATGTCAAAAAACTCTTCACTCTCTCTCTGACCATATCAAGATATAGTTAAAAATATGTATTGAAGGTTTAAAATCGTTCTCACTGGAATTTCATCAAAATTCGCCATCCAATTTTGTGCAGGGTGGGCTAATTTCGGTGTTTTTGGCAAGTTTTTCCGTCGTGAAAAATAAAAAAAGTTAATCGACCAAAATTTGTATCTCGATTCCTTTAACAGAGACAGGACATTTCTAGTGTTTTTTTAACTGTTCTTCACTCAGTTTTTTACGTGATGCGAAAGAAGTAAAAAATAAACAGTGTCGAAAGGAAATGACTCGTCGGATTCCCATCGTTCTGCGACTGCAACATTTTGTCTACATTCTCTGTATATCATCACTCAACATTTGGTTTCTTTTAGAAAGATCCATATTCATAAACAAATTGTGCCTACATGTTTCGATTTTTGAAACCTGAGCAGAATTTCCTTTCAAATGATTGTTCACATTATTTACCTAAAAAATCTTTACAAAAATTAAAAATTTCGCGAAAAAAATGTCTTCACGTTCGCTAAAAACGACCAGAAATTAAAAATGCTCTGTTTCCTGCACACCAATCAAAGCACTGAGATACGGTTTGAAAATTGATCAGCTTTTCATATACAGGGTGATTCACAAACGGTGACCAAAAATGAAACCTCGTATTATTTGGTGAATTATAAGGGGAATCTTTCGTATAAAGTTTTTATTTAGGACGCTTCGTTAAAAAGATACAGGGTGTTAAATTTAAAAAAATGTTTTTAATTTGTTTAAAAAATTTAAAAACAAATAATTTGATACTGGGCACATGTGCACATTTTCAAAATCCGAGGCCTTTTCCTAAAATTTAGATGCTTCAGTGGCGGAGATACAGGGTATCGGTGGCATATTTTTCTAAATAAAATAGTACAACACTACTTTACAGTAACAATCATGATATTTTCGGATTCGTCTTTCAATTTTCTACAAATTACTACTCTCTTATGTTTTCCGAAAAAAACTTAAATGACATGACAAACACGGTTATTTATTCGAATAAAGAAATTAATAACATTAATTTATTCGAAAATCAGGCTATTTTCGAGAAACATAAGAGAGAATTTGTAGAAAATTGAAGGACATATACGAAAATATTATGATTGTTACCCTAAAGCAGTGGCGTACTATTTTATTTAGAAAAATATGCCACAGATACCCTTTATCTCTGCCACTGTAGTCACCAAATTCTATAAAAAGGTTTCAGATTTTTGATAATGTTTACATAAATACATGTGCCCCATTTCAAATTATTTCACTTACTAGTTTTTAAATTATTTCAAAAAATTTAAAATATTTTTTTTAAGTTTAACGCCCTGTATCTTTTTAACGAAGTGTCCAGATAAAAACTTTATACAAAAGGCTCCCCTTTAAATTCTCCAAACAATGCGACGTTTCATTTTTGGTCACCGTTTGTGAGTCACCCTTCGAGAAACCCGCCAAAAGTGTAAGAAATGTGCCCACCCTGTACTTTCCTTATTATATGTATTGCGCAGATATACTTCCATAAATCATATTTGAGACCATTAATACAGCTATGCATACATAAAACACTTTTATTATAATGTAAATAAGTGTATAACTAAGTGCGTAAATCATTGTTTTGTTCCCTAGATGTTTGTTTAATTTGAGGTGGATCGTAAATTTGCAATTAAGCCATCCTTTGGAGGCCCAGTTTATTTATAAAGAAAAATAATAAATAAGTTGTTGATATTGCGGTGTACATTGATTTTAATGGGTATAAATTAGTTTGACATTTGCACTAATGGTATAGATTTCAGAGAAATTGTTCATTATTGGAGTATTACACACTGAACATAAAAATTAGGTGCTATAATAAAAATACCCAGTTCGACAGCTGTAAGGGTCGATTTATCTATAAATATTAATTCTTTCTCTCTTGAGAAACGATTTCTTGAGAGGGATGAGACGAAATTTATTGTTACATTTCACTTTATACTTGTTAAAATTACTTTTTTAATTTTTTTCCCACACTATAAAATGTAGAAAACATAACCACGTTTTAAGCAGGTATATGTACGTGCCTTTCGAGTACAATTTATCGAATGGAAATTTAACTTCTTCTACTTCTTTTTTATTTTCTGCTAAACTATAGACCGCAAAGAAAAATTGAGAACCATCATTATCAGCAGATCCAAATAAGTAAATGTGTTTTTACTTTGATTCTAGATACGTTGACTTTTTCGAAAATATCTTGCAAATTTTTTCATATGTTTATGACAATTGTGTGGAGGATTTATTATTTTAAAATTTGTTTACCACATCCTGTCAAACTATGAAAGTTAACTTTAAAATTTAATTGCAAATTTGCGCCCATCTGTAGCAATAAATACCACAGCACAAAATATTAAGTATATTTAGAAAAATATTTCATATTATAGAAATATTTTAATAGGAATCGTATAATCTTTGTTTACGAATGCTTCACAGTTACCCATTTTCTTATTTGTGATAGTTTTTGGTAAGTTTTATAGGAAATGCTTTCTTTCAAAAACATACATTTTTTACTGCTGTTCAAGGGACGGTAAAAAGTTTCAAATAAAGTGATACACTTTGTTTGAAGCCATAGCTTTAAATTTAAAAAAAAGAACATTTAAGTGATTTAACTTTTCGTCTTTCGCTAATTTTTTGGAAACGTATTGTGATTGTTATAAGGACAAGTCTTTCAGAGTATATATTTATGCTTATATCTGTTATTTTCGTAAGGACGTAAATTCTATTTATAAAATTAATTCTTCTATCGTACCATGTGCCCTTAAAATTACCTAAATCCTCTCAAGTAGACAGTTCTTTTTAGAATATCCGTCTAATGAGTACCATATTTTGTTACAAATCACCTTCACTTGTCGAAAAATATCTTATTGTTGCTATAACGCAAAGATAACAAGACCTGAGGGTTGTTTAGATGACGTCACACGGTGAGGTTACGCTACGCGAGCGATGCTTTTGTCTTTATAAGCCAATATGGATGTCACGTGATTTATTTCTCTCATAATCTCGTCTAAATAGCTCAGCAGTAAATTTTTGGTATTTCACTTATTGAAAACATTTATATATAACACATAACAAGGATGGATGTTAAATTAATGTTGTGTGGTTTGTTTGTTGTTTTTTTTTCATGATCTCTTATAAATTGTTCAGGAGTAAGTTTATTGGTAATTCTCTCCTTGAAAACATGTATCACATATAACAAAGGCTGTAGGATGGTCAGATAACAATATTTTTGTCTTTGTTGGCTAATATATACGTCAAATTGACGTCACGTGGTTCGTTTCTCTCATAATCCCTTCCGAATTGCTCATTAGTTGACTTTTGATAATTCATTTAGTAAAAATAAGTATCACATACATAACAAGGCCTGAGGATGTTCATGTGACGTCACGTGGCTAGGACACATCACGCAAGTAATTATTTTGCCTTCATTGACCAATATGGACGTCATTAGTTTCTTTAGTGATATCTTTTAAATTGTTCACGAGTTTATGGTAATTAAGTTATTGAAAAGATGTATCATATACATGGCCTGAGGGTGGTCTAAATGACGTCATATCTTTCTTGGCCAATATGGACGTCATATTGACGTCACTTGATTAATTTATTTTGCAATTTCTTCCAAATCGGTAACGAGTGGGTTTTCGGTGATTTTAGGGGCACGGTACTTAAAATTCTCAACATATCTCAAATACATACCTACATTTTAATGTAAATAATAGCCTTTTATCCAGATTTGGACCAAAACATGTAATATACTCGATAAATAAATATTGTGATACACAATTTTGACTAGACTTAAGGGTGTAATGTAATGGACCGTTATTCATAACAGATAGTTGTACATTTTACATAAATATTGGCCTTTTTGCTCTTATATGATAAACAAACAAATGTTAAAAATGTCGGAAATGTTCATGCCTTCCTGTTAACGTTATTTTTTTAAGAACGACCGTCGCTGAGACGTACCACACGGAGGGACCCATTGTTTAAGTTGAAGGCAGAATATTTTTAATGGTATATACAGGGCGTTTCAAAGATTTGATCGAGACTAAGGTGATGTAAATACTAGTAGGATTGAAACGCCCTGTATATTTATTTAGGCTATGTATACATCTTTAAGGGTTTATTACTACGATTTGTAGCTAGACAAGGACATATGAAAAAATTGTATAGAGATTAATTTAATATCTTCATGTTGATATCGAGTTTTATTATACCGATTACTCATCTCCATTGTAAAGGCATATATTTTGTTCACGCTCTGTATGAAAGATTGTTGATTTCTTCCTGAGAATAATGATATATTGTGTAGTTATTTCGATAAATACAAATTACAAATTTTCTAATGCGTTTCCTTATCCCCACGATCCTTAATGCGAGCAACCTAATATGCACCAATGTGAATTGTTGGTTGCATACATACGAAAAATGAAATTTTATAGGAAACAGAAAATCCAACAGTGTAGATCTAAGAACATACATAAAAGTGTGTTGAAAGTGGAAATTAAGTACAAAATTTTGAATTTTGCCACAGAAAGTTGTTACATTGCCTCTAATTTTAATTATTCCGAGGTAAAAATTATTAAATTCTCTTGTTATTTGGCGGCCCACAGATGGCGCCACATATATCTCGTTGACACATGTCCTGCGCAAAACTACTAGGCTATCAATATAAAATATTTTTTTTTTAATTCGATTGTCAGAGAGGGTAGAGTTCATTTTTCTAAAGAAAAACTGAAAACTAAATGTAAAACAGAAAGTTATGTTGTCTTCATTTTTTTTTAAAGAAAAACAATGTTATATGAGAAAATTTACCACAGAAAATTGTTAAATTCGGTCCCAACCGAAGTAAAACTATTAAATTTGCGTTAAAATTTTGCAGTTATTTCACGGCCGACAGATGGCGCCACATATATCTCGTCGGCACTGGTCGATCACAAAACAACTAGACCGACGAAATAAATTTTATGGATTCAGTAACTCTTTTGCTACGGGGGGAGTAGGGTTCATTTTTCAATAGAAAAATGAACAACTTTGGAACTAGACAGAAAACAATCTCAACTACAATTCTTCTCAAACCAAAACACATAGAACAGTCTTTAAATCTCTCTCTATTAATCCAGTTGGGTAGTCGAGACGCGCGGTAGATCCCAACCCTTCGCCACCCTTAGTGGGTACCTTTCTTAAGTTAACTTCCAAGCAACATTGTTTCGGCGAGATACCGAGAAAATTGTGGTGGCGCCATCTATCGCCCATAAATTAATACTGACATTTGTAGCCCCAATATTTAATTTTAGGTTTATTTTAGTGAAAAATTTGCGACATTCACATAATTTTTCACTTCAGATGCTCAGTTGGTCCACTTCGAAATTTAACATCTACAGGGGGAGCGCTAAATACTTACCATATTTTTGATATCTTTTTGAATCTGGCAATTTTAAAAATGCAAAACACAGGACCGTTATGTTATTAATTGTTTATTTATGGTATTAATACACATTTTTACAGAGATCATTACAATATAAACTTCATACATAGGCCGGTTCCTCTACGAGTAAATTTGTACAAAATTACGTCTAAAATAATAAAAAAAATTGCACAGTGCTTTAGCCTCGTTCTTCGGAAGAACAGATAAAGAACTGGGTCCCAAAAGTGTTTACCTTAACCTTCTAAAATAGAGACGACATACTCTTACGTTTAATAACGTGACGCTACTAAACAAGTATACAAAGATCCAGTGGCGTACATGAGTGGAGGTGATTAGGGGGGCGGGGTGAGAAAATTCGCTGTACGCCACTGCAAGGATCGCTTTCTATTGCACAGAAATGGGAAAATATAATAATAATGATAATAATAATAAAAATATTTACAAATATAAATATAAATGGAACAGAAAGTTGTACACCCGAATTTAAGCAAATCTTCGCTTAAAATATGTTAAAATATTAAATAAATATTGCTATCTACCCTTTGTTACTTGATTTTAAGATTTGATTAAGAAACCAGTGTACCTGTTATACAGAGTGGTCCATTAAAATGGGAAAATGCAAAATAACCTTTCTATTATCCAAGATACAAAAAAATTCTAATAATTATTGGAGTGCACCAAAAAACTATGCTTTAAAATTGATTTAAAATATACAGGGTGATGTATGAATTTATGGATTTTATTACACAGTTTGTCTAAATATCAATTAATGCACAAATAACAGACTTTCCTCCATTCTAACGCAGATTTTCTATAAAAAGTCATTATGTGGGCCTGTGTTATTATTATTAATTAAGCTTTATTGCATTCTGCATCGTGAAATTGCCATGTGCCAGATAGGGTGTCCCAAAAAAAACGAATATTTTTTTTTTCGTGTCTCTTGTGAAAATATGTTAGTTTATCATGTTTTAAGAGCCCCCTCAAAGAATCAGCTCAAAAAAAATTTTTTAGGGGTCGCTCAAGAATTTTAAAAATTTCCAAAATCGTCAAAAATAATTTTTTTTCCAGGTTGAAAAAAATCTCGATTCTGAAAATTTCAAATCGATATTTTAATTTCTAAAGATCATTCATAATTATTTTAACTTTCAAAGTAGTGTACCTAAAGTGTTTTCGAGAGACCTCTAAAAATAAATATCGACGAATTTGTTTTTATTGAATTTGATGAACAAAAGAATAGAAATAAATATTTAAATTTTAAAAAATTTAAAAATTATAAATATTTGATACTCCCAGTGCGGTAGTAAATTTTGACTCGAGAAAGTGTCTCGTGATTTATTTCTATTCTTTTGTTCATCAAATTCAATAAAAAAAATTATTAGTTCGTTGAATTTATTTTTAGAGGTCGCTCGAAAACATTTTAGGAACACCACTTTTAAAGTTAAAATAATTATGAGTGACCTTTAGATATCAAAATATCGATTTTAAATTTTCAAAATCGAGATTTTTTTCAACCTAGAAAATTATAAAATAACAAAAATTTTTTTAAAAAATTAAATTGTTGACGATTTTGGAAATTTTGAAAAATCTTGAGCAACCTCTAAAAAAAATTTTTTTGAGCTAATTTTTTGAGGGGGCTCTTAAAAGATGATAAACTAACATATTTTCACAAGAGACACGAAAAAAAAATAATCGCATTTTTTGGGCCACACTAATGCCAGCCTAAATATTTTAGTAATTACATTTTTATTAAAAATGTACTCGTTTCTATGCAAAAAAGTCAGATAACTCGCAAAAATAATTAAGTTCGAAAAGTGAAACTTATCCAAGAAAAACTACAAGAACGTTTAGAGATTTAACACGGAAGTGGTCTTGACAACCTGTAAAACGATCAAAATATTCAGAAGTGGGTTTTCACGTTCAATTGTTCTCGGAAATCGACTCCGAGACATTTGAACTACTGGTTGTCCACCTCCTTTGAAATGGTAACACTCAGAGTTATTCCGTTATTTTCTTGTTTACTTTTTCATTTTGACTTCAGCAGTAAAATGAGGTAATAAAATTGGAGAATTTACTTACTTATTTTACGTATTCCTGCTTGTTCCTCTTTTATTTTTAATTTAATTTATTGCCACGAGAGGCTCAAGAAGAGTCGTATGAAAAAACTCGGCAAGTGGGTGCACTCAAAATATTCAGAGTTCGTAAACTGAAACTTATCCAAGAGAAACCGCAAGAACGCCTAGAGTTTTATCAAGTGGTCTAAATGATCTGTATCTGAATCTGTAAAACGATCAAAATAGCGAGATGACGTTTATGTTTCCGTTTTTCGGATATCGCTCCCGAGACATTTGAACTACTTTTCGCGGACCTCCTTCGAAAACATAAAACGTTTAGAACTATTCCGCTTTTTTGTTGTTCTTTTGGGTTTAGCTGTAGCTTTCTTTGTCATAAGTAGCAATAGGTAGCAAATTTGGAGAACGTTCTTGCTTATTTTAAATAATCGTGCTTGTTCCTCTTTTCTATTATTTTAACTAAACGATATGAGAGAGCGCTAAAAGGCACATGTTTAGGCAAAAAGAGTTGTATGAAAAGAGGCAGACAAGTGGCTTTCGCAAAAATACAAAAGTTCGAAGAGTGGGAATTATCTAAGAGAAACCGCAAGAACGCCTAGAGTTTTATCAAGTGGTCTAAATGATATGTATCTGAATCTGTAAAACGATCAAAATAGTGAGATGAGGTTTACGTTTCGGTTTTTTGGATATCGCTCCCGACACATTTGAACTACTTTTCGCGGACCTCCTTCGAAAACATAAAACGTTTAAAACTATTCCACTTTTTTGTTGTTCTTTTGGGTTTAGCTGTGGTTTTCTTTGTCATAGGTGCAATAGGTAGCAAATTTGGAGAACGTTCTTGCTAATTTTAAATAATCGTGCTTGTTCCTCTTTTCTTTTTATTTTAACTAAACGATATGAGAGAGCGCTAAGAAGCACATGTTCAGGCAAGAAGTGTTGTATGAAAAGAGGCAGACAAGTGGCCTTTCGCAAAAATACAAAAGTTCGTAGAATGGGAATTATCTAAGAGAAACCGCAAGAACGCCTAGAGTTTTAACAAGCGAGTGGTTTTAACATTTCTCAAAAACAAGGTTCGTGGTCCCCCATTCCTATCGCATTGCTTATGAATTGTTCTGAACTGTCGCATAACATGTTAAAACCATATAAAAACCCTGTCAAGTGTCAAAATTGGCCCACCTTGCACTTTCCCTCATTAATGAACCTATAAAAAGTAAAATACATAATAAAATACCTAAACAGAATCGAATTCGTTGTAAGTTAAAAAAAAACTAACCGAACCTTCAATACAGTCCCGAAGGCAAGTCCGTAAGTTTCCCGCACATCCTGGAGCTACCCGAAAACTCCTTGCTCTTTGCCAGCAGGACCTGGTGGCTATCCACAACCACCTGCCCGGTCCCTGAATACAACCCGGCGTTGGTGTGTCCCCTCTTGATGAGGAAATTCGTGCTGGAGCTGTTCCTCTTCTCCTGGATCCTCGGGAAGTAATAGGGGATCTCTCCGTTGTCCCTCTGCGACGGCAGGAACATCTTCTGCTTCTCCTCCGAGTGGGTGCTGAGCCTCGACCTCCCCTCCCTCTTGGGGTTGACGACCACGTTGGAAATACTCCTGCACAGGGAAGTGCCCGTCACGTTCCCCGAGTCACTCTTGGACCTGCACGGCGAGGCTTTCTCTTCCGTGTGGTTCGTTACGATGATGTCGACCAGCGTGTCCAAACCGCCGTCTATCCTATCCAGGCTCTTGCACTTGGTCCGGTTGTTGGTCAAGGCTTCGATCCTTTGCTTTTCCTTCTGCTGGCACGAGGTGTAGCACTGGGAATCGTTCCGTAACGTGCCGGTCCTCTTGAAGGACTCCGCTCGCTTGATGCTGGTCCTCGTGGAGGTACGCTTGCACTTCCTCACTTTGCTTTCGTTTTGCGGCGACAGTTCTTTCTCCACCCTTGGCAGCTGACATTTGGAGGCGCTCAGGAGGGAATCGGAGCCTTCCTCCGAAGTAAAAGCCGTCTCGTTCTCGAAGAACATCTCCTTGCTGTTGCAATAGTCGTAGTCTTCGGCTGGCACGAACAAGTGGATCAAACTCCTCGCCTTCCTAGGCGGTTGCGGGTGTAAGTTCGAAGGAATAATCTCAATTTCGCTAGATAGAGCATAATCGTCCACTTCCACGCGCATCTGGAGCTTTGAAGCTACTTGGGCTTCTTCTATTCTCTTCCTTTCCTCTTCGTCTTCGCGCTCCTTCTTTTTGAAGGCCTCCGTTTCGGCGTCGTTGATTATGTTCCTGAGCTCTTCTATCACCTCCTCGATCGTCGTTTCCTCTTCATCCTCCTGTTGCGGTTGTTTCGGTTTCATCGGGACCGAGTCCCCCGGCAGGCTGTAGAGCTCGTAGACCGAAGAGTTCCTCTGGACGTCTTCCTCAGGGGTTAGGCTGCGCTCTGACGAGGATATACCTTCGTCTTCCGGTGTTGAGCCGCCTGAAATAAAAAAAGGGCCTGTAGTTTGTGTTTATTACTAAGTAGATTTTTACTAACCTTGTTTGTTTGGGAGATGCGTGGAGCTGATCTGGGACTTGACAGACTTCAGAGAATGCACTTCTCCTTGGAGTTCGCTGCATCTCTCCTTTAGGCATTTTTCTAGAGAGATTAGGATTCCCTTTTCTTCCTGCAAAATCTGAAAAACACAGAAGAATTCGAGCGATTGCCACGAGGAAATCTTGAAAAGTCTTACCTGTACTTTCCGTTCCAACAACAGAACTTTGTCCCGAAGATCGTCGTTTTCCTTTTCAGCGTCTTGTAGTCTTAGCGTAAGTTTCTCTACGTTGACGCTGTTCTTTTCCCAATGGGTGATCTCTTCCAGGATTGGATCGCTAGAGTTAAGGTTACTTACATTCTAAAAATTAAGAATCAGATTAAACACCAAGACGTCTTAACCTTATTGCGTTACCTTTTTAACAACTTCAATATCGAATCCTGCTTGCTCCAGTTCCGCCTGGATATAAAGCCTCTTCTGTACAGATCCAGCAGTATCCAAAAATCTGTTGAGGAACTTAATTCCCGCCGCTAAAAGTTCCCTTTGGCCTCCCGTCGAACTCAACATGCCTACCAGGAAGCGAAATCTGACGGGCTCGCCGAATCTTAGCCTAAGCGTCGACATAGCCTCAGAAACCGCCGCGTGGCCGTTTGTGGGGGGTTCACAGGCCTTACTCAAGAGCTAGAAACAAAAACATCCATCTTGTCTCCTTTACTCGTTTGAGTTCACTCACCTGCAGTGCTATAATCCTGGACTTGTTGACGTTGCTCATTATACATATAGCCAGGGTAAAAAGACCTGCCGAGGTAGCCGTCAGCTTCCTCACGGCTTCTGAATACCTGGAGCAGCAGCTCAGAAGGCACTGGAGACAAGAGAGTTCGTCCAGTAAGGTTCTTCTTTGAACGGAAGGGGGTACTTTTCCAATGGTCGCGGAAGATCCCGGTTGGCAGTGGGCGTTGTTGGACTGGCTGAGTTGGATGGCCCGCAGGAGGTCCAACAGAAGACCCACGCCGTCGAGGGGGTCGGCCACGAATTCCTGGACGAAGCTGAGGAAGAAAAATGTATGTAAGGACCTATTGTTGATGTACCAGCTACTTTGAATCTTTGGATATTTTGCGTATTGTATTTATGCGTAAGTTTTCAAAATTTCAGGTCCGTCGAAATTTCTTTGGATTTCTCTATATGTCTAGTGCTTCTCTGTAATTTTACGCAAAATCTTCTGTGATGAGTATTCGTTCGAAGACCTTCTTCGGTTCACATGTTTGTGATGTAACGTCGTCGTTCACGAATCTTAAATTATTTTTTCTGTTTTTCAGCTAAAATCTAAAGGAAAATATGAGCTCTTTTTTGAAAATTTATTTCCCGATATGAAAATCATTTGTTTTAGACGCAATATGATTCCGAAACGAATTTCTGGTACCCCCATTATTAATATAAGAAAATACCTCATTACATGTACCTACAAAAAATATTCAGAACCACTGATTTTGACTCCTACCTACCTCATTATATATTTAACCTTATTAATTGCAAGCATACTATTTTTTCTATAAGTCAAATTCCATTAACTTTCATTGCTTATATCATAAGATGCCTGCGGCAATTCATAATGCTACGGGATACATTGTAAGCTCGTTTTAATTACTTACGTCTCAAAAAATTATTAACAGGTTTATTCAATCTGCAGGAAACACCTCAACAAGCGATTGTCTTGATCTTGTTTTGCTATAAAGCCACATACTTTGCGATATAATCGAAATTTATGTTTTTTTAACGCATTTTCTAGTCAAAGAAATTATTGTTTCTCGTTAAAAAAAATAGTGAAAGAAAATGAATAAACTGTGTGGCTTCTATAATTATAAAAATTTGCATACGTCTTCGTGTTTGCGTATAATATCAAGGAAGTCTGTGAAATCAATCCCTCAATTGCAAATGATGATAATTACGCTTTTATCAACATTGTTACGGAATGGATTGTTACATAATTATTATTGTTTATGGGGAATAACTATTATTAGTAGGGATTTTTCACATACTCATCTACACTACTGTAACATCATGTATTATTCATTATCGTCATAAGACTGTTGATACAAGGAAGGTGGTAGGCCTCATAAAAATGTAAAGTTTGCACCTGCGACAAAATAATCTTTTTTCCGTAAGTTACTGGGTGCAAAGAGCATGCATATTATACGGAGGCCTTTGACCTTCAGAAGTACATAAGTATCACAATTGTAAGGTTACAAATAGCTTGAGCGTCTGTTTTTTACCCGCCTAGCGCCCGGTTGTCCTATCCCATCAGGTGTATTGATATTATTTATTTCACCGAAATATCAGTGCCAGAGGTCATTGACCGAGATTCACATACTAAACACAGTGCTTTAAAAAAATAGTACCAAAACATTTTTAATAAAAACCTAAAAAACCCTTGCCGTTTTTGAGAAAACTAATACTTTACGGACTTTTTTGTGGAAAACATGTTCGAATAATGTTGAAAATTAAAAATATTGCATACTTCTAGCTGTGGAAACAGACAGACAAACAAAATATAAACTACCAAATTTATTAAGTTAATGTAAGTTAACTGCAATTTTGAAAACGAAAATAGATTAATTTTTGAAACATAAACCAAGTGAAATGATATAGCGATGTGTATTTTTATTTGTCTGCTCTTTTCAATGTGAATTTTTTTTGTTAAGCAAACGCCTGAATTTTCAAGCCTTTTAACAGAAGGGTTTATTTAATTAATTTTAAATTATTTTCACAGGTACTCAAACAGAGAACAAAATTAAATGTAACATGTAAAAATTTTCGAGATTTAAGGAGGTATATCGGGTTTACTCAAATGCACAGATGTACTTGAAATTTATATAGCGTATTACCAAGTGCTCCCTCTGTGCGTCATATTTTTTCAAATTTTTTTTGATTCTAGATTTTGAGATATTGTTGTTGAAAGTTGTTCATTTTAACATAGGTTTATATGGCGAAGATGGACGGTGCGGCTCTTTTTTTGCTCATAACTGAGAAAAAAAATGTAGAAATCGTGAAACAAAACTTTTCCATAGATAGTACACAGTATTATCTTATTTTTAATATAAAACTAATGAAAGTTTTGAACATAGTACAGCTGTATTAATTAGAAACAGAAATCAATAATTGCATTTCTGTCTGACTTGAGGATTAATGTGGCAATTAGCTGACAGCAAGGAGGGAATACATTTGAAAGACTTGATAAAAACGAAATTGATTTCAAACATACATTTTTCCTAAATCCCATGTACATTGTTATAACAATAAATTATTCACAACAGATGATTTTTTGTAATGTTTTTAAAAAACTAGATCAATTAAAAAAGACTAGGAAGCTGTGATATATTTATTGGAATAAAAAATACAGTTGACTTTTAATATATTTAATGGTTTATAAAAACATCGTAATAATTACCCAGCAATATTTAGGGTTACATAAAGTCTTCTTTACTTGATTAATATAATTAGTAATACTTCAGATAAAAGCATTTGTACGGAATAACAAAGGAACATAAATATTTCTCGGCAAACTTTATATCTAAAAAATTTGTTATAGTTGCAAAACTTTTGTAACATTACTAAAATAGAGATGAAAAACACGAACAGTAAGTAATAATGTAATTTCTATCACAGAACCTTCAAAATTGCATCCAACATTTTCTTTGACTTGGACGAGAGATGGGCGCGAGTGTCATTTCATTTCTTTAGAACTAAATTAACATAATTCTCGTTGTTTTACCAGTTCACATTATTTACGGATTTTAAATAAAGGATACAAATCTTCGCGAGGATATGATATATTTGCTATATATAATAATTATTTTACATAGTTTACACACAATACATTTTTGAACACGTACGCATCTTTACCCGAATTTGACGCGCAATATCTCTGATGTCCGAGGTCTGTAGGTTCGCAGTGTGTACAACTGCTAGTCAATTATTAGCGCTGTTACCACATCTACATAGTCTTTATGCGTTCATTAAATATAATTTAAAACTACTTAAATATATTTTTATGTTGTTAATTAGTCAATATGTATGCTATATGCATATGAGTAGATTTCTTTGCCAGATATATAACGTTTATCGCAAATAATTTCAAAAGAATTTAATTTTTTCAAATTGGCAGCGGGCTTTAGTCCCATAAGAAAAGCATAGGACCCCCCTGCGCTCCTCACTTCCCTCGGACACCGATATACCTCCTTAAAAAAAATTACGGCATTAAATCTTAGACATGACCTTGTGAACAATTGTTTTATATTTATTTATGCTTTGAAACGACGAATTTCAAGACACAACCTGAAAAACCTAGGTTAACTAACTCTTTTTAGGCTTCCGTTTGCTACATCTCGTTTCCACACAGTTTTCCATGTCAAATACAGATTTCACAGACACAGTTTACCGTAGGAATGTTGCAACTATTGCAACGAACTGTTTGACGAATTGTTGGGAAACTCGAATCGTTTTGTCACAGATGAAACCGATTGCGGATTGTGCTTGAACTAGAAACCAACCTGGCCGTACATCGGTGGCATTATTTCGAGTTAAATTGGCTTCGAAGTAGCTTCAATAAGAATTCAATATCACGGGACATATTTAAAATGTTTGCAAATACTTGCGAGAGATATTACAGGCTTCTGATGAGAAAGTAGGCGTGAAAAATTATGTAAGTTTTTTAAACATTTATTTTTCAACCTTCTTCGTATACGGGGTGATTCAATGTACAGGATGATTCACTATATTTTGACCCCCCATTAACTTTTTTTGCTTTTAGAGTTATAAAAAAATTTTAAATGCAAAAGTTGCATGATTTTTTATAAAACTTTCGAAAGTGATGTGGAAAAACAAATGAAGCACAGCGAAAATGGACGCAGATGTTAGCTTTGTTCATTTAAATGGAACACCCTGTATATTCTTAGTAATCCAGATGTAAATAAATTCCAAAAAAAAACATTAAAAATATTATTTACTGTCACTTGGAATTTTATCGTCAAACCTAATATGCAAATTCCTTAATTATGTACAACCATTCAAAAGGAACTGGATGAGGTGAACTGACAGCAAAATATTTTTATTGATGTCGTTCTTCCCGTGTTGAATATGGAAATATTTCCAAATGGGCGGACAAATAATTTGGTATCGAATTTCAAGAAAAGGATATCGTCGTTACGATCTGATTAAAAATTAATTTTGTCAAATTTGGCACCAGGGAATTAGTTGGCAGAAAAAGGTAATGTCAATGTTCTCTGAACTCTGCTACACTAAGAGAACTGTTTATTTATATTCGCCATAATGAATGCATCAGGTGTTTTTTAGTCAGATAACAATTTTTAGAATTACTAAAATAATAGTACTGGAAATTGCTTAGATCAGAAGAAAAATGTGTTCTTGGTATAAATGTATAGAGTGTTTCTTTGTATTTTACACTTCATCTGCAACTGTTATTTTTAGAAATATGAAACCTGTTGCATATAAAAATTGTATAGACTAGGCGGTATCTGTTTTGGTTTGGATGAACGGTATATCCACGGAAATTTTTGCCTTTTTGGCTTTCAAATATTACTAGAAATGAAAATTTTTCTATGCGCATTTCTATACGCTTCTTTTTAAAAAACAGATCGATTGGTCAATTAATTACGTAGTTATGGCCGATCAAAGTTAACCGTCATTTACACTAAATGTACTGGGACATCCGGGCTAATCTTTCGAAAAATACCTTTGGTATTCCGAGTACTTACCAGGTCTAAGTTTGCAATACTTTTCTTCATTGACAACCTACTTTAAAATGTGTTTAAAGTTATTTATGCCTTTTATTTATGCTGTTAACCATGCTTAACACAGCTGCATGTTTTTGAACACTAAAAAAAGCGTCTTTCCAATAATTTTTAAAGCTTACTTTAAAACATTTGATTTGATTGAATATTCATAAAGTTATTCTAATTGTTTATAAGTACAAAAATTCGACCAATGTTTAAACAAGCGACAGAGCTCTCCTAATTGACGGATTCGAATTTTTCAAAAAGCGTTTGAAAGCTTGAAAGCCCTTCTATATGTGATTAAATTTTCAAGTATCTAAAGACCTTGGTTTTTGTTGTGCAAAATTTTGAAAATTTGCAATTTTTTTTCAAAATTTGGATTGCAAAATTATTATGCAAAATCTATCAAACCGATTTTGATGAAATTTGGTGTGATAATTCTACATAACATGAAGTTTTCTTAAGCCAAGTATGAAGGTCCTATACCCAATTTAAAAACCCCATACAATTCCCTAAAAAGTATTGTTTTTTAACCCCATTTTTGGTGATTTTTTCGATTTTTACAATAATAATCATGATTCATTCGATTTGTAACTAGTCGTATTTTGTAAAAAATTTAATTACAAACATATTTTTCCTCTTCCATTTTCGCCTAAAATCAACTCTTGAAAAGATACATACTTAAATAGGAAGAAAGATATGACATTTTTCGAATTTCTTTAACATATTGTGCCGCCAAAAGTTAAGCCCACGTGTTTCTGTATACGTATAAAAAAATTTTCATTTTTAGTGATATTTTAAAGCCAGATAGCCAAAAAACTCCGTGGATATACGATTCACCCAAATATGGACTTTTTGAAACAGATACCGTCTGGACTAGTATGAATGTTTATGAAACGCTAGAATTTTGAATCAGATTGAACAAAAGAACATTTCAAGGTTTATCTTATGATTATAGTGAAACAATGTCTGGTAGGTTTATCTTTGTCGAATATCACATGTCCACAGACACAATTACCATGGCCATATTTCCCTTACCATTAGAGATACACCTAGTGACCCTGATATCAAAGTAAGTAAAAAAAGGTTAATTTGACACATTTGTAATATTCTTTGAGGAAATAACTTTTTTCTACATACATATTTTTCTATTTCCAGGAACAACGATTGTAGGTGGGAGTAAAAAATATATTAAAACACTGTGGATACTAAATCAAAGAGCAGTATTCAAGCATAATGAGCGCATAATATAATAATTTGTAGGGTCTGAATGATTTTGATACTATTTTTAAATATAAATTCTAATGCTTTCGCAGTTGCCTTAACAATATAATCAATATGCTGCGAAAAACTTAAAAAACTATCAAAAATAACTCCAAATCCTTAGTAAACTGTGTCGAACGCAAATTAATATTGTAACCAGGATTGGAATTATAAATGGTTGGTTTGCATTTATTCACATTTAGGTTAGATTTGTTGTTAAGAGCCTAAACTACAAGTTTATTAAGTTTCTTCTGAAGATTGTCATTAATAAATAGGAGAAAAAGAACGGATCCAAGTTTGAACCCTGAGGAATCCCCGATGTAATGTTTTGAAACCGTTAAATGTAACATATTGCATTCTATTATGAAGGTAGGAGCGAAGGAGGTTGGTAATCCATCATTAAAACTAAATATATTAAAAATTTGAAGTAAAATTGAATTGCCAATAAAATTTTTTTTGAAAGTGTAAATTTTCAATAACCTTTTTCTTTCAGTGTAGTTGATCGGCGTATAATTCTATGGACCTTTTCAGATTTAGGTATATGTATTACGATTTGGAAGATTACTACGGCGGTTAAAGTGTACATTTCAAGTAACCCCGTCTCCCAGTGTACACCAGGGCAGCGTCCAGTTCCGAGGAAGCCACCAATTATCATCTCCAAGTTCATTACCGCGTAATGAGTTCAAGAACCTCCACGGCTACGCGGCCAAACGCACGTCGGGCGTAATCGATGTGTAGGGAAAAAAAGTAAGAGTGAATAGTTTTTCCAGTTACCCGAGATGTTTGATTTATTACGTAATTATTATTTAAATTGGGCCCGACGTACCCGAGGGCGGCGCGCTTCGCATACATTAGCGGCGGATCAAGGATGGCGGTGTTTACTTTTTAATTAGCGCCGCGATTCCGGACAATGCCGCATGGCCGGAGGATCGAATGTCGTAATGGGCAAAGTTGACGGATGTGACACGTGCGGTGTTGCCAAAGCGAGCGGTACGGAATCAGCTAGATGGCTTGTCATTGTCAAACAACACCAGAAAGGTAGACCGGAATATAGATTAGAAAGGTAACCGAGAGACCAGTGCCGTAACAAGGTATAGGCAGAGTAGGCACACGCCTATGGGCGCAAACTGCTAAGGGCGCATGGAAAGGAGTTGAACACAAAAATTTAAAAAATATTTTTGAAAAAACATTCAGGGAATTTTGTAAAATCCTTATAGTTTCTGAGAAAAAAAAAATGTTGAAGTATTTTCAACCTTCAACTATTGTAGTCTCTAGCGTCATTCGCGCTGTACGCTGTGCACAATACGTTCTCTCTCCAGGAAGTTTCCGAATACTGAAATGCGATAGTGTTTACGTTAGTTTTTTAAGTACCAACAATGGTTTACGTGTATAGCAACTGGGGAATTGATGTTTGAAGCAAGACGGGAGCAAATGTATTTACACGTCGTTGGGCAAAATTTTGAACAGTTGTTGTAATTACTTTATTAACTAAAATTACAAATTAATTGTTTTAATTAATAATAACAATAGAGGCAAAAGCAGTTGAATTAGTTGACGTAAAATAGATGTTATAAAATTTTATTTATTTCTTTCCTTTCTTTTTTTACTCTTCTCATTTTTTCGTATACTTAATGGTTTACGAGCAAAAAATAAATTATTTTTCCTTGCCAATTAGTATAACAGTTACCAAAAATGATTTGATTTTTGAAAAAAATTCTTTTTTTATCAATAGGAGAAGCCATGCAAATATGAACTAAAAATTTAATTAAAAAAAATGAAAGATAAATTTTCGGGCCATTTTGAGATTTGAATTTTTTCTCAAGGGGGGCTCAAATCGAAAAAATGTAATGGAAGTACTCCCCTAAAATTACTTTTTAAACACCTCCTTAAAATGTTTGCACATCATTATGAAACACCCTGTATATTAAGTGAAACAATTTATCATGTTTTATTTTTGTGTTTATTACATTTTTAAAAGTAAAATGTATGTTTTTGAGTTTTTGCTTAGTTTTAACAATTAAGTAGGGGCGCAAAATTAAAAGCTGGCCTCTAGTAAAATTTCTTCTAGTTACGGCACTGCGAGAGACAACTACAATAAACTAAATTTAAAACATGGGCTGCGGGACACCTTTGTGAAAATTCAATTTTCCTTTTCAAAAAAATTATGACAGCTACGTATTTCTCACTTATGCCATGTTCATGAGTTGAAGAGAAGTATCGATTTTATCACAAAATTTTTTTGGCATAAGTGTTGCAAGGGACCTAAAAATGGAAAACATTCTAAGAAATGTGAAAACATCTTTATTTGTCTACCAATTTCTCATTAATGCCAATTAGAGATATGACATTATTATATTCGAAAAGCTCATAAAAAACATTGGCATAAGTCCTACTAAGGACTAAAGAAAACAGGCCTTTGGAAAAGCTGCGGAAAATTTTTCGTTTCGGTTAACGTTTTTCTCGTGAATAAATTAAAGCTTATTGCAAAGAAAAATTGAAAGTATTAATTTTTTTAAAGGGCATAAGTCTCTGGTGAGGACTATATGCTAAAAAAATTTTGAAAATTGTAGGAAAATTCATGAAAATTGTTATGTCTTTCTCGCTTATGCCATTACATTATAAAGTCATTAAATGTAGGCATAAGAACACATTGGATTTTCATGTTGTAAATTATTTTGAATTTTAATACGAGTCAGGTCGACAAAGTAGAAAAATAATAGAAAATTGCCACAATTTTCTCGTTTATGCCGTTTCGTACACGAGTAGAAAATATTATTAAAAGCCATTTTCAAGAGTGGCATGAATGCCACAAGGTACCGTCGTATGTAAAAATTTTTAAATAGTTTATTTCATCGCCTGCGCAATTTTCAAAATACTTACACTTACTTGCATTTCGCGTATTTTTAATTTTATAAATATAAGTAATTTTTGATGAATTCAAACCTTATCTTATGAATATACAGTATTTAGCCTATAAAATACGCCTTTGGCCTTCAAATGATCTTGGTGATATGGCTTGAAATCACAAAGATAATAAGAACTCAGAAAAATAATTTTTCGTGAGCATTGTATGGTCCAAAATGTCTGTCTCAAAGTTTTTTTAAAAAGTATTTTAAGCACAACAGGCTGGGTGTCCCACGAATTCGAATTTTAACAAGGTCAAAAGGTCACAGATTAAATTTATCGCACCCATAGGTCATTTTTCAAGGTATAACAAACATGCAAAAAAAATTTCATGAAAATCGGTTTAGTCTTGTACTGTCGCTAATAATATACTAATGCTTCCTCAAAGACTTTGAATTACTAATTTTTAATTATAATTATCACAAACAATAACACTTAAAATAATACAAATTTTTATTAACTTAAAATTAAAGCATATAAAAAATATGAGTTTTTTCGGTTTTATGATTTTTCACATTTTCAAATTTCAAACAGTTTTATCTCCAGCTCTCGATGAACGAAAATATATTTTAACGGATCAAAATAAAGGCCTTACTACCAGCTTTATTATAAGTTATTAAGAATTATCGTAATAAAAAATAACATGTCGAAAAATCTAACTAAACCCAATACAAAGCTTTCTCTTTTTCATGTAATTTTTTTTATTTTAAAATTTTTATTCCCTTTTATAGTTAGAAATACTTTACTGGTTTCTCGTGGAAATGAACGGAAAAAAGTTATAAGCGAAAAACGTAAATTCACGTAAAAATTATACAATTAACCATCGTGTAAACAATCTTCTCCCACATTTTTATAACTGTGGAAACTATCATGTTACTGTATATAATATTTAGCATCTATAGTGATAAATTCAGCTTGCTGAAACAAAAAGTCGCGAAATGGTAATTTCCCAGCTCTTTTCTTGGCCTATTACAACTGTTATTCGTTTGTTCTTAATGTATAAAACTTTTTTTCCTTGCCTTCTATTCATTGAGCGCTCTTGGTTATATCCCCGTTATTACTAAATATAGAACCATTAATATTCTACATTACTGTATCCGCGAGACAACATTCTATCCAAATCTGTAGAAATATACAGAGTGTTCCATTAAAAAGTACATTTTTTGTGTAGCCTTTAGAATCACCCTGTAGAAAATCGGATGTACGCAAAAAACGGCAAAAAACAAAATAAAATCGACCTGTCGCGGCATTTATATGTAAAAAAAAATTAAAATTATTACAGTTTTACTTAAAAAGTTCCATAATTTAGCCACTCTATAAAGAAACTGCCACTATCGGGCAAGATCCTAGATAAACTTTCTATTCGACAAATTGTTAGCTCATATATTCAGACTACAACTAACTACAGTTTTAGTGGTTGCTACATAGATCCTAGACCAGAACGTCCTAATCTACGACACCGACTAGCCAGCTATCAAGCAATCGCTGTCACCGTTCCGATGACATTCTAAAACTCAAATCCGAAATTATCCCGACACATTTTTTTCACTCGCGATACCTTCCGGAATGGCTTCCTGCCAGCCATGCGGCCGCCTACCCTCAGCCCGGCCCTCCAGATCGAAAATCACGTGCCCCCCTTGTCCCCCGTGCGCCTGCACAATCCCCGTCATCTCCGACAACCTCCCCAAGTATCAGGTACCCAACCCCTGCGACCCTAACCGTCCCAATGAACCCGATTGTTGCAATGTATGCGTACCGGTGATGGTTCCCAAGGAACCAGAAACTCCGCAGAAGCCCAAGAAAAAATGTAGGTACGTCCAACCTCCCAGACCGAAGTCTTACGCCCCCCATAGGAAGTATCTTCCTCCGGAGCTGAAGATGGACGACGATACCATCTACAAGAAGTCTTATATTCCCGTGGAGACAGACAGAGCTGATCCCGTCCGTCCCACGAACAACTTATGCGTTGGCGAAGGAAAGATGTCTGACAATACAGTGAATAGGATGTCGTACCAACCCCACAAGGTCCAACCAGTGACCCCTGTGTACCCTTGTGAGCACAAACTTATAGGTGAAGGTCCCATGCAGGACCTAACCACTCAGAAGCACGACTACGTACCTAAACCCTACGTCAAGCCGGAACCTGTGAAACCGTTCACTAACCTCTTCACTTCCGATTGTCCCCTGAGTGACAAGACAGTCAACAGATTGTCCTACCAACCCGTGAAGGAGATGCCCAAGGTGGAACCCTTCGTCCCCACGAATGCCATAGAGAAACCTTCGGGGAAAATCAGCGATAAGACCGTGCAGAAAATGTCGTACCAACCGTGGGAACCACCCGAACCCATGGATATGCCCTGGAAGAAAAGACCACAGTTCGTGCCTCCAAAGCTGAGGATGGAGGATAATACGGTGCAGAAGATGAGCTACGGCCCGCCGGGTGAATACGTGGAGTGCGCTGACGACGATCCGGATTGCGTGGATTGTCCGGAACCGCCCTGTGTACCGCCCTCGAAAATATCCTCGCCATGTGAAGGTCCCAAAGTGTGTTGTAACGCATGTTGTTGTCCTAGAGCGTCTTGCTGACAAAGTCAACAAAGATGATTTGAGGTAACCAAATTCCTGTGATATTGTTCAGTGATTTTGTTTTTTATTTTTATATACAAACTTATATATTATGTCTGTATACATATGAAACCAATAAAGAATTTTTACATTATAATTGATGGCAATACGTATGTAATTAAAAGTACGAATGGTTTGTTTTAGGTTCAATTTAAACAGGTTTTATATGTTTGCTTTGGTCTAAAAAATTGCAACAGTTCGCTATTTCAATGTAAATTACGAAATTGCAGAAACGGATTCATATTTTCAATAAAAAAAATACTGTGGTTCATTTTAGCCACTTCTGCATTTTCAATTGTGCGTCATAGTCCAGACGGTATCTGGTAATGTTTTATACGTCACCCTAGTTTTGTACGTTACCGTTTTTTAATTTTCGGACGTATATTTATGTATATTTATAAAATATTCCATTACGGTAGATTAGCCAGCACAATTACCTACAATTTAAAAAAAAATATATTTTCATCGTTTAGATCCTATACAATATACATATATATTTTTCCAAAAATTAAAAAAATGGTGACGTATAAAACCTTACCAAAGCTGCAAAAATGAAGAATTTTGCAAATTGCTTTTGGTTTCTGTATATTTACACTATGTGTATACCGAATTTCAAGTATCAGCAAAACTTCAAACAAATTTGGCAAAGTTTCGAGTTTCAGATGCCTATGGATGTATAAATCCTTATAGAACAAAAAGTTTTGCTCTCATGATTTTCGACTTTAGCGTCATTATTGTATACAGGGTAGCCCATTGAAAACGTACCGCAAGGCATTACAGGGTAGTAATGAACTTTTCGGCAAAATCCAAAAACAGGTAAAGTTTGCTTCTGAGGGGGACAACTTTTGGCGCAAAAAGCATAGCAAAATCTTCAACCCCCTAAGTGGGGGTGCCATCCCCCAAATTTTTTTAAATGGGAATGGGGGTCAAGTGGGGGGTCATTAGAAAGGGCTTTTAATTCTCTATACATCGATTCTTACTTTTTGAAAATCGATCCATTATTTTAGAAAATATGCAGCTTTGAAAATACGAACAATATTTTTGACGAGAAATGCGAAAATCGATTTAATTTTACTTCAAAACTTACGGTATTAGCTTGGTAAATTCCTTCAAAAGAATTCGCTGTTTTTTTTTCTGATTTGCGAATTCTTTAGCCTGATTTTGGTGAGCAAAAAATTGTCCGCTTTTTGTTTCGTATTTAGATAGGCCACAAGAAGTTGCTAGATAACTGTCTTGTGACTTGTAGTTGAAGAGTACCAATACTGCCGAGTCTTTTAAATTGATTAATTATGGTGTACTCAATTCCAGAAAGAGTAGAAATTATTGAGCTTTTTTTCAAAAACAATGAATGCGGAAATCGGGTCGCCGAACTGTTCAACCAACGGCATCCTGAGAAACATGCGTCTGGAAAAATTGTTCGCGAATTGGTGGCCAAATTTCGCGAAACTGGCTCCGTTCATAACAAAAAGAGGCAGGTTGAAAATCCGGTACTAAATGAACCTACGGAAATAGCGGTATTGGGGCAAGTGGCAATGGATAGTACGCTGAGTACAATGCAATTGGCTACTGCGACAGGAGTGAGTCGTACAAGTGTCCAACGAATATTAAAAAAATACAAATTCCATCCTTATAAGATTCGGCTAGTGCAAGAGCTAAATGAAGACGATTTTGATCGTCGTTTGCAATTTTGCGAAATAATGACTGAACGAGCGATAAACGATAATTTCCTCTTTAATGTGTGTTTTTCGGACGAGTGTACGTTCTTCTTGAATGGTTTAGTGAATCGCCATAATTGTCGTTACTGGGCTGATACCAATCCAAGGATTTTCCATGAGACACACTCCCAACACCCCCAGAAGTTGAATGTATGGGCAGGTATTTTTGGAAATTCCATTGTAGGTCCTTTTTTCCTTCCTGGAAATTTGACAGGCGATATGTACTTGGATTTACTACAAAATGTCATCGACCCAGCTCTAACAAATATCATAGAGGACGACCCTGCTTACAATGAACACGAACTGATTTTCCAGCAAGACGGAGCTCCTCCACATTACTCGCTCAATGTGCGCAATTACCTAAATGAGACGTTTCCAGGACGCTGGATAGGACGAAGAGGTGCAATTGAGTGGCCCCCTCGGTCACCCGACTTAAATCCTTTAGATTTCTTTCTCTGGGGGCACATTAAAAGCAAAGTTTACAGCACTCCACCTGATACCTTGGAAGATCTGCGAGGACGAATCATTAATGTATGTCGCGAAGTAACACCGCAAGTGCTCCAGAATGTTCGACAACGGTTTGAAGACAACCTGTATCATTGTATGCAAGTTGGCGGACAACATTTTCAGCATTTACTTGACTAATACCGTAAGTTTTGAAGTAAAATTAAATCGATTTTCTCATTTCTCGTCAAAAATATTGTTCGCATTTTCAAAGCTTCATATTTTCTAAAATAATGAATCGATTTTCAAAAAGTAAAAATCGATGAATAGAGAATTAAAAGCCCTTTCTAATGACCCTCCACTTGACCCCCATTCCCATTTGAAAAAATTTAGGGGATAGCTCCCCCACTTAGGGGGTTGAAGATTTTGGTATGCTTTTTGAGCCAAAAGTTGTCCCCCTCAGAAACAAATTTGACCTGTTTTTGGATTTTGCCGAAAAAGTTCTTTACTACCCTGTATTGTCTTGCGGTACGTTTTCGATGGGCTACCCTGTATATATTGAACTATGGTTTTCGAAAGTATTATCACTTTTTGTTTATAATTGACATTTTTACAGCAACTTTAAAAAACTGACGTTTTATACCGTCTTTTCAATCTCACGGCTTTGTTATTGCAAATTTCGTAATCGGACCACCGCCATTTTGTAGCTATTTTTATTACGAACAAAATCATGTCCTAAGCGTTTTTTCGTACAAAGTCATCCCGCTATTGTGCTCATCATTTAAAGTATTCCTGTGTAGTTTTTTCCGAGTTATCAAGGAAATGTCACGAGCAGTAACTTTTCGGCCTCTGCCGACTGGACTATAGTAGCGATGTAGCTTTTAAATGAGACCAGCATAGAATACCATATAATACAAACATGTATTTAGATTTCATTCAGGAAAATTACAAAAATCTGTCAGTTGTCAAATTACCGTGTTGCATGTAACAATCAAAATTCATGAAGTGACTTAAACTGCTATTTAATTTATCCCTACACACACATAAGTACCATGAACACTTTCTGGAACCTAACACAGTGCTGCGCACCGACGTGCAAGTCCCAGACTAGATCAAGAAAGAAACTCAGATACATCCCACCGCCCAGGACCGAATCCTGCCGACCAACTAGCAATTACACGCCCCCAAAAGAGAAGATGGAAGATCGCACCGTATACAGCATGTCCTATTCGGCCTCGAAACTTATAAAAAAAGACAACCTTTGCTCCGGCGGAAGCAATTCCATGAGCAAAATGCCCTGTCAGTTCGTAAAGTATCAACCACAGTGTCCTGTGTGTCCCTGTTTGTTTAATCAAGGACCATTTTGGACTTGTAGCGACCAGACGGTTCACAGCTCGTCCTACCAACCGTGGTGCAAGCCCCAACCAGATGAGATGCCTTGGAAGAAGAAACCAAGGTACATACCGCCTAAGGTGAAGATGGAGGACCAAACAGTTCAAAAGCTAAGCTACGCCCCACCAGGTCAGTTCGTGGAGTACACAGACGACGACTCAGACAGCTGCTTTGGCCCCCAGATGCCGCCCTGTGAAGGTCCCAACATTTGCTGTAACCCCTGGTGCTGCCAGAACTTCGCTAGTGACAAGGATTCGGAGGTTATTTTTTTACACTAGTGCAGCGTTTTTTGTTTTTTTTTTAATATGTTGTTATACATAATAAGATGATAAGATTTTACGATAAGTCGCACATAATAAACTTCATTTGGCATTAGTACGAGTTTTACTTGTTGAAATTAATTGCTTGAATTATCAAAAGTATGTTGTGTAAGAACAAGTTTTAGTTTCTTTGTCACAACCACACATAGGCAACTTTACTGGTAAGAGATTGAAAATTACCCCCACTACTTGACTCCAGAGCCCGAGAGGACAGCGATATGTGTCTGTCCTTTTTTAGACAGAGACAAAATAAATTTCTGTTGTCTCTGTTAGCATTCATTTTGAAATTTAACAGCTGACGCCGGAACTTCATCATGATTCATACGTTACATAATTTTAGAATTTTCAGAAAATGTAATA